AAGTTCATACCCAGCATAAGATCAACGCTAATATTCTTTATTCAGGTACCCATGTTTGAGAAAATGGATGAGCAGCTGTTAGATGCAATGTGTGAGCGTCTCAAACCTGTACTTTACACTGAAAAAAACTACATTGCAAGGGAGGGGGATCCGGTGGAGGAGATGCTGTTTATACTACGAGGAAATTTGGTCAGCATCACCACCAACGGCGGAATGACTGGCTTCTTCAATGCTGTTAATCTCAAAGTCGGTGACTTTTGTGGAGAAGCACTTCTTCCTTGGGCCTTGGATCCTCAGTCCTCCTCTCATCCACCCATCTCCACCAGAACCATACAGGCTTTGTCCGAAGTCGAGGCCTTTGCTCTGTTAGCTGACGACCTCAAGTTCGTTGCCTCCCAGTTCCGGCATCTCAATAGCAAACAGCTCCAACACACTTTCAGATTCTACTCCGTGCAGTGGAGGACATGGGCGGCCAGCTTCATACAGGCAGCCTGGCGAGACTACTGGAAAAAGAAGCTTCTTAAGTCGGTACGGGCAGAGGATGCTAATGACGCCGGTAAATCGCCGAGCCTTGGCGCCACGATTTACGCATCGAGATTTGCAGCCAACGCGTTGCGAAGCTTGCGACAGCATGAGACTTCCACCCCCAGAATGCTGCCTCAGAAGCCGGCGGAGCCTGATTTTACTGCCCATCAAGGCTAGTAAATGTTAATTCTCTGTTTTTTCTATTTTCTGTTTTATATATGCTTGGATAGATTCGGAAGAATGATACGTGGTAAACAAGGCATGTGGATGGGCTATCAGGATGGTCTTAAATTGGCTGTTGAGAGAAATTTTACTCACTTAATTGTGGAAAGTGACTCTTACACTGCAGTCTCTCTTTTACAGCAAAATCCCCCTTATTTCCACCCACTAAATACTGTCATTTTTTACTGTGGGGAGTTGCTGCTGCACATTCCCCAGGTGAAGATAGTTCATGTGGTTCGAGAAGCTAATATGGCAGCTGAAGCCATTGCCAAAATGGGACACAATCTTTTACAGGATTTTGTTTTTGACTGTATCCCTAGTTCGGCTAAGTATGCTTGTGTAGCTGATAACATCGGGATTGAATTCCCTATAATTCGTTGATGTCCTATTTACTTATTTTATAACTGGTGGTGTTAACTCTTTTTATATCATCTTTTAATTCAATTTTTATATATCATTAAATAAATAAATATATTTAATATTACAAATGTCATATGAATAAAAAAATTAATAACTTAAATAATATATTAAATTATACCAAAAAAATGTATAAAAGAATTGTTTCAAAATTATTTTCTTTTTATAATATTCCTTTTATTATAAAAAAATAAGGCATGTGGGACTAGATGATGATATGGCTGCCAAGTAGGATTAATTGTGTTGTCGTTATGTTATGTCTGAGGTCGCTTCTAGTAGGGTTATGTTATTTACCAGCTTTGTGTTTCGTTTTTGGGGGAGTCCAGAATAGTCTTCTTCAACCTCGAGCTTTCTTAATTGTTGGATTTTTAGACAACTATTTGAAAAATATTTTGGAGATCTTTCTTCATTTTCTACTAGATTTCCCTAGTTATTTTCTTTAGATGAATTTATCGAGAGTCAATCCAGGCTTTCCTTATTTTTCTCACCTATCTTTCATTTTATCTGCATCTTTAAGAATCTGTAAAATGTTCTGTAAAATATTCTACTTAGTTAAAAGGCTTAATATAAACATGTTTCTTCATCTCAAGAATTTCCGAAAGTAAAAGAAAAAAAAAAAGTTACTTTTTGAGTATAATTTTTCTAAGCTCCCTGCTCTTTTCTTTTTCTGGATTTTCTTAGCAACCAAACAGGATATAAGGAAACATGATCACCGTCTTTTCCAAACCACTAACACTGTTAATACACAGCGTTTTAATCCATTTAATGGGTAACGTTCATTCCATGAATGGGACTATATGATTGATTCATTACATAGAATATCTGTATCTAATACAATTCTGGAACAGAAATTTATTCAGCAATGTATTTATTTAGAGACTTTAGTTGATTTGATCTTCTATTTGCAAGCAGCATGAAGACTTGATGATGTAACATAAGCTCCGGTATGATCAAACAAGAACCAAAGTGCTAGCCCTGCATCAAATTCAAGTAAGAAGATAACAAAAACTCACCAAAAAAATGTACAAAAATCTTGAGATAGATGGAATGAGATACTTGGAACAGTCAGTGTTTTGATCAATGGGAGGGATGCTGCCGCTGGAAATTCCACATTTAACAGGAAGCTGGGGTATGCGAGACGCGTCGTAGGATCCAATTTGAGCCAGAGCTCTCTTGAGGCAATTGCAGATAATTACGCGATCTTTTTTGCTTTTTGCATCGTTGGCAATCCCTGTAACGCCGGCACAACACTCCTTAGTTGGTTCCCCGCCATATCTCAGGAAGCTCAGGCATGGGACCACGTCTTGGACTATCTGTGAGCATGGAGGAGCATCAGGAGTTTGAGCCAGAACTGAGGTTGAGAGCACAAGGAACAATATTAGATATCTTATATGGCCAGCCATGGAGATCACTGTTTTCGTTTGGGGCGAATGCCAATCAGGGATGAAGGAATTTAAACGTGCAGATACCTGCAAGGTGTTCAGTTTGGTTTATGTGGTTGTTTGTTGGCATGCAAATTTTATGATATCCAATTTCATGCTGGTGCTGGTTTCTATCACATTTGAAGATGCGTGCAAAATTTCTAGTTTTGCATGTGAAATCCATGATCACATTTCACAACTTCCATGTGCACTC